TTAATAGCTGTTTAATTATTTTAACATCTGCCTTTGTACTATCCAAATCAATTGATTCTCTTGTTTGCTTATATAGTTCAAATTCTGCCTTTGTAATGTAATGCGAAGGCGATAAACGTTCGTACCGGTCAGAAATCTGTCTCGAATGTCTCCTTCTTTCCCTTCTACTGTGATGTCTGCTTTCTGCTATGTTGTGGTCGAAGTTACTTTCATCATTGGAAAGATCTGGTTCGCTGTGGTTCGGTCGAGCACTAATTGTTGCTACGAAGACCGCCAACCCGAACAGGAGTAACGCCACCGAAGATTTCATCTGTAACAACATTAAACATTTATGTAAAGAAGGAATTAAGATAACCATTGAATTCAGTATCGTAACACTTGTATCAACTTTCATTCGATGTAAAGATATCAGTAGTACTTTGGTGGCCTTGATTCTATTCTAGGCAATAGAACAAACCGAAATGGAACAGATCGTTCGCAAATCGATTATTCATTCATCGATGATAGCCATTTAATATTAAGGTTAGATTTTAACATATGTTCATTTCAGTTGAAACATCTTATATAATAACAGACGCTCGACCGAAATTAAAAAAGCGATATCTGTCTCACGATATGCATAATTTAAAAAACCTAAATGTGTGATTAATATAGAGATGAATGTTGTAATTCAATAGTGTCGTATAGTTCGTTTTCAAGTTATACGAAGCCACAGCAAAGGGAATAAAACCTGTGTTCAGTTTATAAGAGGCAACGTTCTGGAGAAATACGAAATAACTTGTTACTACGTCATACCGGTTTAAAACAAAAAGAGAAAAGATAATTTCTATATTGCAGTAATTGTATTGGAAGCTATCAATTTTATAAACTAACATCAAATTACATCTGTAATAAAAAGTCGTTAAACGTTTTTTATATTCTTAAATAATTTTTAAATAATTCTTAATTATTATCGTAATATATCTACTTTAATATTTTGTATATAACGAATACACACAAATAATACTAGAGAGATTTCAAATATTCTTTTATCATTAGAAAGCTGCATTATCACTGATTAATATAAGCAATTTTGTTAAAAGCATTTTTATTAAATTCTAGTATTAGAAAGCCTGTGTACTTCTATGCTTATATAATAAAGCGTAAACACACACTACTCGTACTTTGTGGCGCACGATGTCAGCAATCACAACATATTTTTGAATAATCAATAATTAGTTAGTATTATTGAATAATTATTAATTTTTGAATAATTGACAAATGTAAACAATAAAATAAAGTTTTTATAATTTTATCCGGATGAAGCCGCACGGGCACAGCTAGTGTAATAAATATACATCGATTATTAAATATTTGCCAATTTTAATGAAAACATAAGAATTGTTTACTAAATTATAGATACTTTTACATAAGTTTAAACTATTAAGAAACTGAACATTAAAAAGTCATTTGTTTTTTTACCCTCTATCTTATTACGTTAAAACTTTGCGAATACGTAAACATATATTTTCACTCACCTTAGTAACTATATTTTATATCGATCTGGTTAAAATCAAATGTTATTTATGTAACACACTGTTAACTACAATAGTCAGGTCTATTTATATCGTATGTCTGTTATTTTTCACTAAACTAACAAACACGATTTAAAAACTGTATATAAATGAGCGCGCGCGTGCGTCTAATACGACGCTTAACGAAAGACTGGTATTCTTCTACCGGTTATGCCAATGTTATATGGTATCGCTATATATATTCTGTACATTTCGATAAGGCGAGCAATTTTTATTTCGCGGTAATTTCCGCTTTTCCGGAGTTTAGATGCGTCTGCTCGTCAGTCGGATGTGAGGTTTTGCCCGTGCAGTCCCCTTGCGTGTTCTATTTTATTTTATTTTAATATTTACCATTACTAAAGCAACGGTACACTTATATTCCTTTTGATAGATTAGTATATCTTCTTAATATTTTAGCCTTTTTTGTAATTGAATAAATATTAGGTTTCTTAAAAATGGATCTTATACCACATGTTAGTGTATTAAATAATTTTTGTGTAATAGTTCAAATTAGGATAAAAATTCAATACCTATTTAAATAAATATGCAATAACATTGATTCTAAATATATGAGTGAATTGTAGATCTTAACAGTGCTGCAAAAAAAATCAGCGATAGCATAGCACAGTCTTTTACGATTTTCTAGCAGGATTTAACCACTTTTGCTTTTAGATTTGCTTCAATTTGTTGTCGATTTCAATCCTAAAAGGACACAAGTATTCGCCATTACCGCTAAACAAGATCCATTCGTCGTCAACTTCCGATTTGAGAACACTCCCCTGGTTGCCTCAGCCAGTATCGGTATCCTCGGCGTTGACATATCGAGTTTCTGAGAGGCTTCCAAAAAGTCAGGTGTGCTCAGTAAGGCATGCTCATTGAAAATTATTAGTAATATCGGAAAATGTTAATAATTTTCAATTCATTACATTTACCGTAACATATACATATTGAAATTACTTAATGCTTGATAATTTAAGATGACGTGACGTCAACAGCGTCCTCCTGCTGTAAAGTGAGTCCCTTGTCCGGTAATCCCGCTTGAAAAGCATCATCATACATAAGGACATTATTATATACTAGCGGTTACTCGATTTCGTCCGCCTGAAATTAAAAAATAATAAAACAATAGCTTATGTTACACAGCTTATAACATAGCTTTTAAATTTTTTTTAATCTACTTGGTAGATTTTGAGTTATTTCAATACATACAAAAATACAATATAGTATATATAATATAATATACCCTTTACAATATAGAATAAAATTCAAAGGTCAAAAGTCATTTAAAATAAGAAATAAAATGTAATAAAACATTGAAGTCGATGGTCAAAAAAATATTTGAAAATGGAATACATTCTACCCCGGCTGTTTATTGCATGAAACCAACCGGATATTTTCTCAAACAAGTAAGAAAGCTGTTTGGAGCTAGGAAACTAGTATTTTCTTCGTTTCTATTTTAAAATATCTTTGATATTAGTTTGTTACATACACACATTGTTATAAAATGTAAACATTCACAAGGGTCGAAGAACAAAGTTGCTCGTAAAAAAAGGAACCACTATACAGTATATTTAGTACTTTAACTTGAAAAGGAGTGGCGGTAATATTTAGATTATCAATAACACGAACCCGATAAGATAAGAGATGGCAAGGTGCGTCAATGCTAAATTTTCATTGCACCTTATGCAAGCTTATCTTTCAAATCTATCGCGACGTATGTCATGTTGAAGTAATTGTTAGAGCGTGTGCACACCTGAAACTAAACTATCGCACAACTGTTTAGTCTCGCATTTTTTCCTATGAGCGTATATGGAGCTGCGCACAATACTCGATTTTTAGTCGTGGAACTAATCAGTAGAATTGGCTGCGAAATTATCGACAATAGCTCCACAGTTATGCGATAGTTTAGTCAAAGGTGTGCGCCCGCTCTTAGTGAATAAATGTAAACTAATACCATCGTTTTTATCAGCTTTATTTATATTTACAGAAAATATACAATTTTTTATCCCTTACATTTTTTACGTTCTTTTTTTCTTCTTCTGTCACATCTTGTACACTTTTTTATTAATAAATGTCTTGGCGGCCAATATGCAACCTCTTTGGCTGTATTTATAATTATTGTCAGCCAAAGAGGTTGTATTTGCACTAAACACTTAGTATTACTTTTTTTTTATCAAATTCTTACTAAAAATGAGTTATTCGTAATAGTATGTAGTAACCTTGATAACTACTTCCTGTTTAAACATCATATTTACCTACCTTTAGGATGGACGAACATTATTGACACTATTTTGGGTGTTGGAAACCTTTTAAAAGTATAAAAAAAACATAAGAACGAAGTAGTCGTGAGGTTGGTCTTATCGAAATCTTCGTATTTGGCAACAAGAGCTTGAGGCGAGGTAGATGTAGTGGAGTGTAAAGACAGAAAATAAAATGAAGTGACAACAGAAATCGCCGATAACAGGAAAGGAATATACAAATAAAACAATAACCTGTTAAAATCTCTCCGAGGGTGCTCTGAATTAGATGGTTACTGTACCACGTTTACGGATTTATAAAATTACCACTGTTGGAATGCTCATAGCTAAATTCAACTAAAAATAACAGTTGGCATTTTGTTAATCGTATAGGATTTTTTAGTTTTCTATAGTACCCCTGCGATGAAATATCCGTAGGGCATCGATGCATATGTTCAACGAAGTTTCCTGTATTCTTTTTTATTACGCAGAAAAAGTGATCATATTTTATAACTATTTATTTACATACTTCTTTTCTAGCTAGATATGGGTAAAATGTAGGTTTAAGACTAGATCTTTTGTAACTCTAGTATTAAGATCTAAAATATAATCAATAAATCTAGTCTTAAAAATTAGACGTTTGTTGTTAGACGCTTTGAACGTATCAATCATTTTCCTCAAAATCTCCTCGGAACATTCATCAATGTCAATTTTTCGGAGAAAAAACCTAAAAACCCTCTAAACGTTTGCTATGAGTATTAAAATAAACACAACAAACTTGTTTTAGCATAATCGCCACATGACAATTGACATGTCGCACAGACTGATGTTAAAACGTATTCGTAACGTAAACAACAAAATTCGTAATATGTATTTTAGTATACTTTACGCCTGGTAGGTGCGCTGAACAAATCCAATACAAATTTTGCCGATGCCATTACGAAAACGATCTCACGGATATTCGGGATAAGTCCATAGACATTATAAAAAAGTCGGCTTCAGTATACGTTATGTAAATTATTTACAGACCGTCATTTGTTTGTCTCGAAGAAGAGCAACTCATAATGCTATGTCCCATAATCCATTATGAACTCCGCATGTCTATGTTGATAGGTACAGTTGTATAATAAATAGATATTGAAAAACGAAATGTTGTTAATTTTAAATTGTTAAAAAGGTCAAATTCAATAAATAAAATTGCACTGGTATGGAAATGAAAATTGAATTACAATTTGAATGGTATCAGTCGTTAAATAATATTTTTATTCATTGGGATGTTTAAAATCGAATGAAAACGCATTAAAACGGCACCTTATTCATAAATTACAGTGCTCCTAGAATGATGAATGAATGATTCATTTGGCTGTAAATATATCATGAGACGATAAATGATTTACTCACAGCTTGTTTTTTTGTATTTTGGCCTAGATAAAGTTGTAATGTATTTTTATTATTTTCTTACTAAAAGTCAGTCCTACCAAATTCTTGTAAATTGTCTGATAAATATCGAACGTATGTAAGTATCGGAATTTGTTATCTTATCTGACAATGACGTCATTTTTAAGATATCTGAGTCTCTATCAGCTAGTGGTGGAACAGGTCGTAAATCTAGTAAACAGGACAATGAGCTCAGCAGTAAAAGTTTTGTTAATTTAAAAAATGATGGTATTTTTGTTAATTATAGATAAACCAGAAAATAGATTATATTAATGTATGAAACAGCTCCTAGAAGGAAAGGAACCCGTGAGATGCTTTCGCTTAACATAGAATATAAAACCAAAGTGCCGTTTACTTGAGAAGTATTTCAGTGTTAAACAGAAGTGAATGTTTGATACAAACTTGTGTCTGAAGATCCTGAAGTTACAAAGACGTTTAAAGCCTCAAATATTTCTCTAGAGAGACAAGAGCCGAGAATTTAGACAAGCTTTAGATACAATTTCGCAAATATTTAGTATCAACACAAAGTTTGTTTGAACATTAATATGGATTATAATAAGAAACTAATAAGCACTTGTAATATAAATCTCGTTCTATAATAATTTAATTCTGCTCTTAATGTAATTGCTCTTGTCAACTAGGATTCTACTAGGAATAAATTATTTTTCATCCAGATTCACAGATACACAACGCGTAAGGCAATCCAATACAAATGTTTGAAGTTTGTTGAAGTTTTCTTACAAAGCTGTTTATACGTAAAGAAACAATCGTTAACGGCGCATAGAGATTGATACTTTTTGAACGATTAAAGTTACTGGCAACTAATAATTTTGAGTACTGGCTGAATGTGCATCGTGTATGACAGATCTCAAGGCGCCGATCGAATGACTGATGACAGTTGTCATTGAATGGTGGAATGATGCGCTTTGTTATTATAAAATCAATTGGTTAATTTCTGCAAATGTTTGCAATCCGATTAGATTGTCTTCTGCAGTTTCATTTAAGATGGTGGTCAAGTAAGGGTAGTCTTTCTAGTTTTACGCGATTGTTATTTTATTATCTCCGACATAACCGTTCAAAATTGAGTTTATGTGATCTGCCTTCGGAATTAACTTTGTAAACCACTCATCACTCAGACAAGTAAATCATTACGCATTTAAAATATGATTCCGGTTATAATTATTAGAATTGATCAATGTCTGAAGTACGTGGTGGAAACTTATGCTAGTGTAATTAGGTGTTCATGTGACGTGTGAATGTGACGTATTTTCTTATCTTTTTCCATCATTGATGTAATGTTAATGTGGTAAGTAAATAACTGTTATTACAATCGGATTTTGCCGGATCGTATTAAGAATTATAAATGCATGCATCAATAATAGATTTTTTCCTTAACATACTTTTTATATCAATAGTTATATGCTTAAATGTGAACAATACAGAAATGAATACAAAAAAGTGAGTTTTCATATTTTATATATTT